AAAAAAAGAGGGTTATTTTTCATTGAAACTTGAGTAATCGTTCAGACGAGTATCTTTTTAAGGTAAAAATCTATAAATATGCATATTGGTGGTATGAGAAAGGAATATAAGGCATACTCGATTTCAATCTGCGGTTCAGATCTGCAATGCTTTCCTCTGTTACTAGCAAAAACTGAGCTTCATTGACAAAATTCAATTTCGTCTTGAAATCTCTGCACATTCCTTCTGTGTTTCTACTTGGAAAGCAAACAAGGTTTTGGTGAGGAGAATAACTCCTGACGAGTTTGCATGACCGGCCAATAGCATTGCTAAACCATATATCGACCTCATTGCTATAGCCTTGGACTTCATATCTACTCAAGACAAAAATAAAAAATAAAAAATAAAACAAATCACCCATAATAAATCCTTTTAATTGAAATGAGTCAAATGACTGATATTGGATCATACTCATAATACATCAACATTAAAGAGGAGATAAAAGAACTCATACCTTTGAGAATATACTTCCATAACTTCTCTGCCAGCAATAGATTGACCAGATTTTAGTTCAACGTGCAGTTTCTCTTTGCAGTGTGGTGACTCCGCTATGAGTAGTCCCGATTTGAGATCAACAAGAGTAGTAATAAAACCCAATTCTGGAACCTAAGATTTGGAAAATTCAAATGGAAAGGAAATAATTAGAAGAAAAATAAGTGAACACTCAGATGCCAGCAAAAATCAGCTTTTTCAACGTATCAAACCATCCACAAACATTTTACAATCCTAAATAACAAATTGATCTTTATTATGGGAAAAAGGAGATATTTTAGACAAATATGTATACAACTTAATAAGAAAGTTGTCAATTAGCACTTATGATGTGAAAAATATAATCTATGAGGACTGAAATGATAAATTAGCTTTTCGTCCTAGAGAAAGCTTACAATATGCTATGAACAGCTACATAAACAAAAGATATGACCACACAATTAAACAATAAAAATGCAACATATTTCTCATGAAAACTAAATTCACCTTTTTCTGAGTCAAAACTTCTCCACTGAAGCTCTTGAGAAGCCATTCTCTATCATGTAACAACCCTGAATTTTTTGTGAGCAACTACAGCAGTTACAATTTCATGGAAAAAATACACACTGAACATACTCAACTTCCTATGAAGGAAAAAGAACATGGCTTCACAAAGATAATAACTTGCAATAAAGTTATTCATCAAATACACGATACTACCGGTTTAAAACTGAAAGAGCGCACAAAATTTGTCTTTAGCTTGGTTATCGTATAAAAGTTCCCCAAAAACTTCAATACACCTTTTACTTTTTTGAACACTGCAGCCGTTACGTAGTGCCCAAGCCTGCAAACCTAATTAAACCCTATCCAACCTTATGAAACTAACTTCTGGAAAAAAAAAAGTAAATGAAACTGACATATGCAATAACATGGATCAGGAATATAGTATCAGCTTAGAAAATATCCCAGTAGACAGATGAGCAGGTAGTTAATTTTAAAATTCACAAGTTCATTCCACAGTTTTTTCTGGAGCCATGTAATTAATTCTTTCAAAGAATAATTGAAAACAAAGAATAATGGAGAGCACAGTGAGCATCAAAATCAGAACTTTAAGCAGTTTACACATTCATATACCAGTGCTACTCAAGGGCCAGCTCTCCACGGTAAATCCTGCACATGATTTTATTGGATAAATAGTAATTGATTTGAGAGAGCATTTTGCAGTTACTCTCTCGATGCCTGCAGTTAAACAAGTGCACACAGAAAAATAAGTCAATACAGGACTTACAAGTCAACTTCACGCATACCCCCACAATGAAACAATGAATGTCATAATAAGTGAAGGGAGTGAATACCAAATTGCATAATATTAAACAAACATGTATAACCTTCAGCTAAATATGGTGCTCTACACATTCCTTGAGCAGCTAACGATACAAATGAACCCCTGATGAATTCCAAGAACCTCTGCACAACAATGAAAAAGGAAATTATAGAAGCATAAATAACCGACAAAATAAGGAATGTGAATATCATCAAAATAAGATAGAACATGTGATGAATTTGTAGTTAGCATAAAGTAAATAACTGAATTCCTCAAATTTGTAAATTTATACCCTGGCATCTTCAAATGTTGACATGTAACCAAACGACACTCTAACAGCTCCAGTTGGCTTCCCATGCAATATATCTTGATCATCCCAACAAATGTGTCCTGCCTAAATTAGAAAAAAGTGGGAATCTCCAACGAAATGTAGGTGATGTTCCGAATTTTAGTAGTGTTGACTGCAAAATTTACCTCAACATTGGAAAGAAGGTCTGAGTGGGACAAACCAAGATGTTTTGCACACGCACCAGGATTACAAAAGCATCCTGTCTAAGCATGAGAATAGGAGGGGGAAAAAGAGAAGATAAAAATGCCTGATTAAATAACAGATGGATAGTAAAATATCAAGACAAGATCACATAGGTCTGTTGAAATAAATATTGTCTATTGCACAAGGAGGTAAGGAAGTGAGACAATATCGTTGCAAACAAAACAAAACCTTTCTCGTTTAGATCTCAACCACTAGATAGAAAACAAAACATGAATCCAAATATGTGCATGAACCTAACACAATATTACATGTCTATGATAATTTAACATGGTAATCAAATGACCAGTATTCTGATTGAACAAGAGAAGAAAAATGGAGAGAGGGAGAGAGAGAAAGAGTGAAAGAGAGAGAAACTGTCCAAAAGTCAGTTTGAAAAGTTGGATTAAGTAAGCATATCTTTCTTATGAACTATAATGGAAAAAGTAAGTGGCGTACTTCAGTATGCAAAACTTCAAATAGATCTAGCATGTTTAGCCCATTGAGATAAAATAGGAAATGTAGAAAGTACAAAGACAAATAACACATGCTTCCGTATTGAGACTGTAGCTCTAACCCGTAACTGAATATTGGACAAGGATGCCAATTTTTCCACCTCCCGATGGCCGACCCAAGATCCATCAAGCCTTTTCAAGTTGAATGAAACAGTCGGACCCATTTTATTGCTTGATAACTGAGGTGAAAATGTCATACATTTCAAATTAAGTTGAATGAAACAGTCGGACCCATTTTATTGCTTGATAACTGAGGTGAAAATGTCATACATTTCAAATTAAGTAAAAGTGACAGCAATATTAAAAAAGGTAACCTAATTCAAAAGGTCAAATACAAATTGATATGTGGAAAGTACAAGCAAGAGCATTCAAACAGTTTGTGGCAAGAAATTCCTTCCATAATAGCATAAGATGACTGACAATCAATAGCAAAATATAACCATCATCATGCAACTAGAACCTACCTCTATCATTCATTCACTTATTCTTCACGTCGCTCAACAGTTATATCAACTTTCTTGAAAAAACTTGTCTGCTTGAAATATATGTCCTCTGTAGAAGAATGCAAGACTAACCTGAGGATCATCTACGCCATAGACTGTGCAGACACGATTTCCATTTACATGTGTAAGAGACAAGAGTTCTCTTCTAACATACGAGGCAAGCGACATTTCATGCCTTCACAAAAAGCAAAAGCTCAATTCAGAACACCTGTCCCCACCACTAAGGAATACAATAAAACCAAAAGAAGTCAACTTTAAAGATAAATTAACTATCCGAAAAATCATTACATGATTTTTAAGATTTTCCGTCGTGCACGTTCACAATGACATTGCTTTAGGTACAAAATAACAACAGAATAGAAAATGCTGCAAAACTCGTCCCTGTAGGTTTGTACATTCAAAGAATTGCATGTCGTCTTCCAGATTAAAAATTGACCCAAAAGGACAAAAAATATTATTCTTAATGACAAATCAGAACCCTGACCACCCAAGCATGAATTTTGAACACCGGAGGATCTCTAGATATATTAGCAAGATTGTTTTTTGGGATAGTCGGGTAATTATTCTTAATTTCACACAGAATATTACATTCTCATCTAATACATAACTAAGATCAAAATCCTATCCAACCTGGAGATACTAGACATTGTTAATGCATTGAGTATCTTGAATCCATGGCGAAGAGATGCAATGCTAGCAAAGGATAAGGTCCCGTCCTCAAAATGTTCCTCAATGCCATCTCTTCTTCTGTAAAAGTCAATGTCTGCAATTGATGCAGCCACTGTGCCTGAAAGAAATTCAAAAATTCAAGGAATAACCATCATTTATTTACTAAAAAATCAATGTGAGCTTTAGTCTATGGAAATACCTCCACTGAAGTATGTCTTCTTCAGTAACATAGCAGCCTCTGTTTCCCATATTTTAGGTGGGGAAAGGGAGGATTGTTAGTTTTTATTTAAATTCATAACAAAAACACAATTACAGCTGCCAAAAGATCATAGAACTCCAAAAAAGTAGTGGTAAAAAAAGAAAAGGAAATTTGAGAGATAATATCAATGGAAAAAGCATCTTGCAGTCAAGAATTTACCATTTCGGGCAATAAGAGCTCCAATCCCAGTTGGGTAGCCAAATAGCTGGAGAGAACAACGATGAGATAAAGCAGCAATTCATTATGTCTATAGATCTTACATGTACTGCTATACCTTATAGAATGAGACAACAACGAAGTCCGCCTTATATTTTGATAAATCAGGTGGCGATGTTGCACTTCCTTTCGCAGCATCAATCAAAATCATGCACCTACCACCGTTCAAAGATATTTTTTAAAAAAAAAAAAACATGCTATCAAATTCTAGCAGAACTTTTCACTTGACAACAACATGTGGGAAACAAAGTTACAGTAGTACCAACTTGCTTTATTCAATAAAAAAACTCGATCTGTAAGAGTCAGATAGGGTATTAAGACTGCATTACAATGATTTGTAAAATAGCATGTGGGAGCATACAACATAAGTTTCTCAACTTGAGATATGAAGATGACGCCTAATAGGGGGCAAAAAACAAAGATTATTTCATCATTTCAATATACAAGTAGCCTAATCATTACGTGGTCATACCTCTGATGCAGAGAAGTTCCTGGTATTTCAAATGAATCTTCCTTGACAACATTTACCAGGTCTAGGTTGAATCTGAGACCTGAAAAGTTGCATTCTGACGGGAATGCAAACAAATTGTAGGTATCGCCTGTACAAAGCATCTAATCAAACATAGTATGACATCAAAATCGTAAATTGGTTTTAACCATTACATCACTCTCTTTCCCCAACCCTGCAGTTCAGAGACTGAGCACATTATTTTTCGAATGCTTCAGGTTAATGAAAACCCTTCCAGCAAAATTGAAGTTGGTAAATGAAATGAAACATCATCTTGATATTGGCACAATTAGGCATATATTCAGAATGTGTTGGTTTTTTATTTGACATTAGATTTATGAAAAAAAAAAAAAAAAAAAAAAAAAAAGAAGAAGAAAAAATCTCTTCTCATGATTACCTATCCCTCCTTAATAGGTCACCATATCAATCATTTGGAAAAAAAGACAAAATAAACTACAGAAATATGGTGGCAGATAACTGAATCACTCAACTTGTTTGCTCCTTCAATATGCATCCCGCTTCCCCTCTTCTCTGTACAGTATGCGGCGTAATCTTAATGTCAGATTTCCCATTATGGCCTTGATCGGCAATGTCTACAGCAACAGCTACAGCTCCTTTACCGAGAGCATATCTGTTAAAAGACATTAGGGCAACAAATATTTGCAATTTAAATGTTCCACATTTTGCTGGAAATTTAGAAAATGCAGCACACAAGATACACCCATCTTTCTTTATTAAAATTTAAGGAAGAAAAAGATTGGCATGTATTATTACTGATTGAGATAATTGAAAATATTGGAGTAAAAAGGATACTCTCTGATCCCAAGAACACTGTTGTGATTCTCCATAGTGTACATAAAAGTACTTTGTCTGCTCCATGGAAATGTTTCACCCACAAGCTTCAAAGCAGCTGTTGCCCCAGATGTGAATATACATTTATACTCTCCAGGGGAAGCATTAAAGAAACTAAGGACCTGCAAAAACACATCATAACCCATCCTTCATACATACGCCAAAACTTTTTCTAAGATTTCAGAAGAGAAATCATACATTTTTTTTTTTCAGCAAATCAATTGTCGAAGTAAATTTCAGTCACATTAAGGTTAAATATCAACACAGTATGAGATAGTGATTCAACGCAAGTTTACTGAACGATTTCAACACATGGCTAATGAAAGATAATGACTTTCCTGTTGGCGAGCGTCACCCACAACATCACTTGTCATCAAGCTGCAGTTGCTCTGGCTATCTATTACCATATTTTCGAATTAAGAAGTCCATTCTATATACCAATATTCATGAGAAGACAACAGAACACTTTCTCGAAAAGGAAAATAAGTATTTAGGATACGGGGATTTCCATAGAGGTTGGAATTCAAGTCCTTGAATATATCTTCCATTTGAAATTCCGAATACAGAGTTGCTCCAGCATGGTCCAAGTACACGGTATCTACACACCCCAAATTCGAGATATCACAATCTATAAACTAAACATACAGACCCACCAAAGAGTACTCACACAATAGCCAAATTTTACTTGATGATATACCTATGTTTCCAATTTTTCAACAACTGTTCATC